TCCAGCATACAAATTTTAATTTGCCAACATGGCTAGTAGCAGTGGAAAGACGTATCTATGAATTTGCCCACTCTCTTCAAAGAGTCATCCAGGATAACCATCCTTAGTATTTCTGTGTAACATTTTGAGCATTCAGGCGGCTGCTCATGGGACGAAAATGCATTGCACAGAATTATGCTAAGGTTTGAGACCACTGGCCCTCACTCCCTGGGAAGACCTCAAAATGCAGACTGAATCAGAAGGTAGCAAGCAGTGATCACAGTGCTTGAACGCTTAAGGTGACTGGCTTTGGAAGTGGGCTTCGAGCCCTGGGCGATTCCAGGTAATGGGTCTTATTTTGGCAGCTTAAGCTCGCTAATTCTTCAGCCCAGATTTTCTGTACTCAATAAATGTCTTTGATTTACTCTCTTGGTATTCCCTTCCAAGCTTACAGAGGTGCCTTGTCACTTGGACAGAGATCTCCTATAGCAACGTGTGCGGCACTGCTGAGAGATGTTCTACACCCAACTACAGCCTGTAAACCTGCAACTTTTTAGTGCAGGAGTGAGAGGTGGGGGAAGGAGGGGCTTCTTCCTTGCATCCAGGCTGTTTAGCATAAATCTGGGCTCAATTGGGAAAAGCGGGCACCTTTCCTACTAACAAACAGGTTCTCGTGAGGATAACCCTGCCACACACACACAAACACCAGAGATCCGTAAGTCATTCCTTTGTAAGGGCAGAAGACGAGACTTTCTTGTGCCGCTTGGTTAATGTGAAAAATGAGGCCCTCCCAATTTTCTTGGAATGAGGGCCAGGACTGTCCACCTCAGGAGAAGGAATCGGGTTCCCCTCTTTCTGGAGGGAGGGATCTCATAAAGCTTCCACCTGCAGTCACTTCCAGACCATCTCAGACTGCTAGCTGGAAAATGGGCCGACTGGTCTCTGGAAACAGCTTGGTTGAGAGTTACCAAGCAGGTACAGTCCTAATGCAGTCATCATAGTAACTTCCGGTATAAAATTAAACTTCTTTTTTTTTTAAACCTCATCCTCAATGCAAAGGATTTCATTACAGAAAGAGACAGACACCGACACCACTCCACGGACGATAACAGCCAATGGAGGTTTTCAATTGAATACCAGAAGTTCAGGTGGTTTGCGACACTGGTCTTTTTTTCTATGAGCAGCTCTGAACGTGTGTTCTCAGGTCTCTTCCCATCCCCGCCAGCTGGCCTCTAGATCCACGTTATTAACCAACAAGGAAGTCTCTCGCTGCCCCCAGTGCAAAGTCCCTTCCAACCAAAAGGTGACATTGATTAGAGCTTGGGTCAGGGCCAAGTTGCGACCTTAGAGAATCAGCTATCCTCTGGGACCTGGCCTGGGAGAGACAATACAAACATTTTCAAGGTGTTAACTGGTCAGGTCTCAGTGTATTGTCTGGAGGACTGAGACAACAGAGGCGTCCCTGCTGTCAATCCTTATGGAGATAGACGGGTGGGTTGGCCTCCCTGAGACCAGCAGGGAAAGATAAACTTCCCCAGACAGAGAGGGTCATTCACAATCTAAACAGAAAACAATGCCAGCTCTTTGATGTGCTAACACCTTTTGAATGGAGGGTCCCTTTCTGACAGGCTTAAGCCGCAGTACCCACAACCCAGACTGGCCAGAGCCCGAGGAGTCTATGTCGGTGTCTGAAAAGGGGAGCTGTTCTTCTGTTTGAAGGAACGAACAAATTAAAGCTGAGAGAGAGAGGAGAACATGGTGAGGGAAGCCTGCTCATTTATATGTGTGCTGCTGATAGAGGAGAATGATGCTGGAGGATGCTTGTAGGTCTGGCCCAGGGGTGGGGGCACCATGCAGCCAGTATGACCAGATATTAGAAAACTGTAAGCAACTAGCCAGTCACCTTGTTTTTTTCTTTTGCTTCGTTCTATCCAGAATTGTCTTGTGGTTACCCTGTTTGTGCCTTGCAGTAATAAAGTTGTTTAACTAAAGGCCACACACACACTTCCTTACTCATCATAGCCTTGCTACTTGTGATGCTAACAAAACATACCCCTTTAAGTGACAATCCTCTGGTAACACTAAGAGATTTTGGGGGGGGGGGGAGACTTTCCAACCCTGAGGTGGTGGCATGCTGCCAAAAAGGACAAAAGAGAGGGGCAATAAGCAGCTTTCTGCCCCAGCTTCCTGACGGGGTTGCAAGCTGGTAGGGGAAAATCTGGGGAGAAAGTACCCTCACATTTACACTGCAGTAAAGCCATCGTGCCACATTTAGAAGACTGTGGCCCCGGTCACACGGGAGGTTTTGGCCCGGAAGAGGGACGGATCGGGGGCGCAGCAAACGGGCGCGATGAAACCACAACATCTTGGAAGCGGCGCGCACCCGTCCCCGAGCCGTCCTTTCAGTTGGAAAACCCACTGCAAAAAAGAACCTGCAAAAGAGCAGGTCTTACTGGAGATAGCGCAGCAAGTGCGGCCGTGAGATCGCCAGCGCACCCATCTTTCCAGAGCAATTGAGACCCCCAGCCGAACTGCGCATGCGCACACATGCGCAGTTCGGCTGCCTCGCTCTCCCTTCAGTGGCTTCCCCCCGGCATCTGATCGTGCTGGGGAGGAACTGCGCGGCGGCTCAGGGGATCTATTTCCTGCCGCCGCGTGTCTCTTTTGGTGCGGCTCTAAAAAGCCGCACTTTGGCCGTTCTTTTTCCCCCCATGTGGTAGGGGCCTGTGACATTTTTTAAAAACAAAATTGGGAGCGTCAGGTTGCTCAGGTTTGAGGACTGCTGGTCTAGGGTACAACTGCCTTCTGACCACATATTGTAGCTTTTCCCACACGCCTCCCCATCCAGAGCTACACTTACCTTCTCTCCACTGGAGTAAAAGAAATAACGCAATCTGACAATGTTACAGTGATCGAGCTTTCTCATGATTTGAAGCTCTCGATTCTGAAAGGGAGAATGTTTCACTGGTTATTATCCAAAGGGCAAAATCTTGTATGTAAAAGAGCTCAAACAAAAGAAATTGTTTCTTTCCTAAGAGCTATAAACAATTATTACAGAAACTTTTTGCTTTAACTTTCACCGAAATAATGAATGTGTATAATGAGGCAAGTTTTGCTTTGTCGGCAGCTCAGCAGCCTAAGGAAATACATGAACTGATTTTGAAATTAAGGCAGATCATAAGAAGAATGATTTAAATCAAGTTTCCCATTTGGTAATGAATGTATTTGCTGAACAAACATATGTAAGAAAAGTTTGCCATAACATATGTTAGGGGCTGTCACTGATCACAACAAACCTGTCTATCTGCGATGTGCATGAACACAATTTTCTGTTTGCTTGCACTTTCCCTCCAGCCTCACATGCAGAGCACTATTAAGGCTACCTGGTTTGCGAAGCTCCAGCCAAGCTCCAATTTGCCATGACATTTAAATACACACACAAAGGAGTCCGTCTCCTCTCCATAAACTGGGATTCTAAACCAGTTTGTCTGTCCCCTCCATTCAGTGAGTAAAGCACATCAGATCAGGTCAGCAACATGCTGATGAAGCCAAGGCCCTGGACTCTTCCTCTCTTTACTAGAGAACTGCATAATTCTCAACAAACACCTTAGCTTTCAATTAAAAGACATTAAAAGACAAAATCACCTAGGGGACAAGGGATAACCAGTGAATTGCACAGAATACTGCATGTATTAAACTACTGCCATATACATTTGTTGTCCCACAAACAAATATTTTTGTGTGTCATTCAATTCCAGATCGAAAATAAGTATATTAAATAAGGGTACAGTAAAATATGCATGTTTACTATTGGATGGGATTTTTCAATTGGGTATTAATATTAATCAAATATATAGGACCATTTGTGGTCAGGTCAAATATGGTTCTTTTTGTGCATCAGGTTCTTTTGGTCATATATGGTCAGATCAAACACGCCAGGTCATATATGGTTCTTTTTGTGCATTTGTCCCTTTGATTGTCTTATGAGGCTTTATTTGGGCCCCTACAATGTTTTTATATGTTTTTGAAATAAACATGTGTACTTTTGTCTATGCCTATTGAAGGGGATGGAGCTGCGGTGGCTCAAGTGGTTAAGATGCTGAACTGCAGGCTGTGGAAGGTCGGTAGTTCAGCAGTTCGAGACCCGGGTGCCGCATGATGGCGCTTCCATCTCTAGTTCCCGCTCCTGCCAACCTAGCAGTTCGAAAGCAAGAAATTGCAAGTAGATAAATAGGTACCACTTCGGTGGGAAGGGAACAGCGTTCCGTGCACCTTGGTGTTTAGTCATGCCGGCCACATGACCACGGAAACGTCTTCGGACAGCGCTTGCTCTTTGGCTTGGAAACGGAGATGAGCACCACAACCCTAGAGTCGGACTCGCCTGGCTTTTGAGCAAGGGAACCGTTACCTTTTATTGAAGGGGATGGCAAAGGATGAGATGGTTAGACCGTGTTACCGATGCAACGAATATGAAATTGAGCAAACTCCAGAGGATGGCGGAAGACGGGAGGGCCTGGCGCGATGTGGTCCATGGGGTTGCAAAGAGTCAGACTCGACTGTGCAACTGAACAACAAATCGATGTTTTAAACTTTTGGTTCTTTACTACTTTTCTAAACTTCCTTTGGAGGTTTCTGCTTGGTTGGTTTAGTCCCGTCCCCGTCTCCCCCTTTGTGGCTCCATGTGGCACTGCCCTTGAAGTGTGTTCAGAAGCTACAGAGTACAGAATGCTGCAGAGCCTGAAAGCTGACTGGAGTGGGCCATAGGGATGACATCACTCCAGTCTTGTTCCTCCTACCCCGGCTCCCAATCAGCTTACAGTCCCAATTCATGGTGCTGGTATTTATCTTTAAAGCCCTACATGGCTTGTGACCAACAGACCTTTATGGATCACCTGCTCTTCTGAACCTACCCAATCACTGCGGTCATCCCCATGGACCCGTCTCGAAGACCCTTGCCATCTGATGCTTGATGGGTGGCTACATGAAAAGGGCCTTCTCAGCCACAGCACCAAAATTACGGGGTTCTTTCCCCAAGGAGATTGATCTGCCCCCATCAATTACTGTTTTTCGCCAGTAGGTAAAGACTTATCTGTCTAGTTTGGCACTCCTACACTGTTTATGTGTTTTGTTCAATTGTTGTTTTTAACTGGGTTTTATAATGTGTATTTTTTAAAAAGCAATTTTAATGGTTTTGATTGTTCACTGCCTCGGGGACTCCAAGTTGGGTGGAAAGGTGGCAAACTTTCTAAATATGTAAATAAACACGTGGTTATATGTTTTCCAGGCAAAAGTTGTTGGTACATGCAATGAGCTCCTGGCTCACAGGGAACAAGTTTATGCACTTCAGGCTTAAGTGGCTGACCTGCAGAAGCTTCTAGATATGTAGGTGAGACTTTCAGCAACCTACTAAAGCAGGGGTGTCAAACTCATTTGTTATGAGGGCCGGATCTGACATTAATGAGACCTTGTTGGGCCGGACCATGTGTGTCATAAAATGTAATGCCAGGCAACGGAGATATAAACTTTATAAAGGACACAAACACAATTTTTTTAACTTAAAATAAAAACATGCTTAAAACATTAGTTCCGTAAGCTGCAAACCTACTTTTGATTTATTGACATTCACCACAGAAATCTCATACTCAGAGTTCTGAGTCTAGGACCCAGGTTAAAACATGAAATGGCTGAGTGATTAAGAGAGTCTGGCAAAGCAAGAGCTATGATGCAGCAGCAGCAGCAGCAGAAGAACTGGAAGCAGGAGATGGCCAGTTCCACTGTGGGCCTGATAGAAGCCCGCCAAGGGCCTAATCCGGCCCCCGGGCCACATGTTTGACACCCCTGTGCTAAAGCCCTGTTCCACTGATGGAAGAATAAGGGTCTCAGAATACGGGGTATCAGGACAAAAGAGGGAAGAAGTGATACCTTAGGAATGGACTTGTTCCTCAGACAGCAAACCACTACCCTCTCACACCAAGGACACTGCTCTGGGGATGTGGCTCTTTGGTGGAGGAAGCTTTGATCCTGAGGAATACAGAACGGTCTGTGACGGGTGTTTGGAACACATGATGCCTTGAGTACCTGGTTCAAAGGTTGCGGATATTACACACTACCTAAGATAAGGATGTGGAAAGGAAGAAGCTGATGGTCATAGTATGCATCAGCACTTAAATCTTGTACTCAATTCTGTCAGCCACTTAGGACCAAGTCCACAGTTGCTTCACCTCTACGTAGGCTCCGTGACCATCTGCTCCAAGTCACAATAGTTTGGGGCACATTGGTAAAACGTACTGTAAACAGCCAAAGGCCATCAACAATATAACAAAAACTGTCCAAGCAGTGATAAACAAAAGAACAATGAAAGCACAACAAAACTGAGATGTGTTTCCCAGGGTCAAAACACAACATAAATTACCGCGCATTATCTCCTTAGTGGTCAGTGCATACAAAGAGAGCACCGCAATAACATGCAGGTTGTCATCGGAAAGAAGACAGATTATTTTATCTACCACTGAGCATTAAGCTAGCCTGGCTAAAATAACTGCAAGAAAAACGAGGATACGCGGAAGCGGAGTAAAGATGGCAAAACAGCAGTGGGAGAGGTCCTCCCGTTTCAGTTTGGAATATATCAAACTGTTTTATCTCATGACCTGAACACACATTAGCTTAGGCAGGGTGAGGTTAGCTGAAGTCACTCTTCATTACACAACTCTCTTCTCTATTTGCTTTCGCATTTAAAGCTCACCCTTAGAGCTTTGATTAGGTGAGCAATAATTTTTTTTAAAAAATATTTTTCCTGTGTGAGTGTGCGCGCACCTGGAAGTCATGGTGACCTCTGGCTACTGACCCCCTACTGGGGGCCTGGAGGATATCTAGAGAGGTGGCTGAATGAAGCCCGCCCCCCGCCTCCCAGCTGTTGGTATTCCAAAGAGGTCTCCCATCCAAGTCCTTGCCAGAGCCGACCCTGCTGAGCTTCCGAGATCGGGCTTGCCGGGGCTATCCAGGTCAGGGTGCGAGCGATAATATTAATGACACAGCAAGTTACCTTTCCGTCTTGGTATTCCCACCCGTAACAGTTGGGTGGGGAAGTCTTGTCTTCATAAATTTTCTACTGTATGGGATTCTGCACTTTCTAAGAGATGAACTGCCCCACCCCAATACATCTTTTCCCATCATTTTAATTTCTAGCTTATAACCAGGAATAGCCATATCTCATTGATTTTCCTTGTCCCACCAGATTTCTGAAATACCTATTATATTTATGTTCTCTTAACATGAGCAGTTCAATTCCTCCCTCTTAGAGCCGAGGTTTATAGCATTTATAGAAACAAAATTTATGCCCAATTCCTTCTCCAAGCATCCTTGGCGTGCCCATTTTCCCCTAAAGTCCTTTGGTCCCCTTTAAATAGCTGTCATATCCTGGCATCCATCTAGACTGCCCAGGCAGTTAACCCTTTGTCACCTGGGGATAAGTCATGTTGAATGAGGAGCTCTCCGCTCCTGTTGGCTTGCCCCCAGAAGTCAGCTAAAAATCTGCTCTGTGACTTCCTTGATATTCAGCACCAGCAATCAGGCTCCATTCAGGTCTAGTGAAGCTGGTGCCTTTCGTACAGGGTGGCAGGTCCCAAAATGTACCCGAGTGCCTAGTAAAACTAAACCTTTCCCTCTAGCAGCACCGTCTCATACACGTACTGAGACCTCTAATCACTGCCGGTCTATCTCACCCTGTGCAAGGAACAGAAAGCATTTCTGAAAATGCTACTTTGGAGATCTTGGACTTTTAACCACCTGTCTGGCAACATGAATTTTCCTTCCAGGATCATGCAGGTATACTTCTCGACACTGTTAGTGTTCACAGTGCTGTTCAGATTTTATGTCCGGGGTCCCCAACCTTCTTGAACCTTTGGAATTCTGAAACAGCAGGGTGGGTGCAGACACAAAATGGCT